TTTTTGAAATACTTTATATCGATATAAAAATAATACTAGACAGGTACATTTTGTACTTGTGCATGAAATGTACACGTAATTCCAACTTTAGTAAATTGAACGTGCAAAGATACCTTAATACGAAAACGTACATGTATTTTTTCATTACATAGGTACTTGTATTTGAACTTTTGTAATTGTTATAATTATTTAATTTTAACACTTTAATAATTATAGTTTCAAAGTGAAGCCAGGGTCATCATGTATCAGTAATCATCCACCTGTTTCGAAGATATTGCGGGTGCTAAGATCAATTGCGGTTGGGTTTTTTTTAATTGACACTTGCTAGCTGGATGTATACTGTCTCCATGGTCACGGTATACCTGAGTATGTACTCCCCCTACATTTGATGCTCCTTAGGTTACATGTACCTTGTCTGGGCACATTATCAATGAGAAATTCAATTATTATTTCAAACTATTCAGATGATCATTTATTTGAAAACTACTTTAAAAAAATAATATATTCTTATCAGTGGACCAGTTATTAGTTTATGTTTGTTTGTTTTGGTTTTTAGCTCACCTGAGCTGAAAGCTCAAGTGAGCTTTTCTGATCACCTGTTGTCCGTCATCCATCCGTCCGTCTGTCTGTCCATCTGTAAACTTTTCACATTTTCAACTTCTTCTCAAGAACCACTGGGTCAATTTTAACCAAACTTGGTACAAAGTATCCTTGGGTGAATGGGAGTTTAATTTGTTAAAATAAAGGGCCAAGTCCCCTTACAAGGGGAGATAATCAAGGAAAGACAAAAATAGGGTGGAGTCATTAAAAAATCTTCTTCTCAAGAACCACTGGGCCAGAAAAGCTGAAACTTATGTGGAAGCATTCTGGGATAGTGTAGATTCTAAATTATTAAAATCATGACCCCCAGGGGTAGGGCGGGGCCACAATAGGGAATCCAAGTTTTACATTGAAATATGCAGAAAAATTTTAAAAATCTTCTTCTCAAGAACCACTGGGCCAGAAAAGCTGAAACTTATGTGGAAGCATCCTGGGGTAGTGTAGATTCTAAATTGTACAAATCATGACCCCGGGGGTAGGGCGGGGCCACAATAGGGAATACAAGTTTTACATTGAAATATATAGAAAATATCTTTAAAAATCTTCTTCTCAAGAACCACTGAGCCAGAATTGAAATTTTCTGGCTGTATGTAAATATTTTCGGGTACTATTTGGCTTAGAATCATCAAAATTTGTCAGTTGATGTATCTTGGGTCCTTGGAGTACATCTACTGAAAAGTAGGTCAACATGACCTACTTTTCATTTTATAGATATAATGAAATATATCGGTTACTAATTGGCTTAGAATCATCAAACTTTGTCAGGTGATGCATCTTGGGTCCTCAGAGTAAGTTGACTGAAAAGTAGGTCACAGTGATTTTCTTTTAAATTTATATGACGATAATTAAATATTTTGAGTACTAATTGGCTTAGAATCATCAAACTTTGGCAGTTGATGCATTTTGGGTCCTCAGAGTAAGTTGACTGAAAAGAAGTTCACTCTGACCTACTTTTGAAATTTTATTGCTTTGTTTAAATATGTATAGGTACTAATTGGCTTTGAATCACTAAACTTTGTCAGTTGATGCATCTTGGGTCTGCAGAATTAGTCCACTTAAAAGTAGGTCATTGTGACCTATTTTTGAAATTTGATGGCTTTATTTTTAAATATATCAAGTACTAATTAGCTTTCAATCATCAAGCTTTGTCAGTTGATGCATCTTTGGTCAATACTTAAACAATGGGGAAAAAGGTATCTAACTCCAATAGGGAAAATTACAGTTGTTAAGACATAAGTTTTACCTTTACTAAATCACATTTTAATGTCAATCACAAACTTCTCTGAATCATATTGTAAAGAATTAGAAAAAAACCTTCTTCTCATTTTTATGGAATAAATCAATTTATAGGGTTAAAAAAGAAGTTATTGTTAAAAACTATGAAGATGGGGAATTGAAAATATAAAACCTTAAGTCTTTTATATCTTCTTTGAAATTATTTTGGATAAGACATCTCATTTTTGCAAATAGGGGCATGGAACACCTCATCCCAAATTTTAACTTAGAGAAATTTATAAACTGTGGGACTAATTATGTCACAACTTTTCTGAAAACTTTGAAAAATAAATTTTGGATAGATGTTTTCAAATCCTGGTTAATATTACAAAATCATGAGAAAACGTTTGAGGTTACTGGTGACTTGCCTTTATTTTATAATCAAATGATTCATATTGGGAAAAAGGCCAAGTCCCCTTCAAAGGGGAGATAATCAAGTAAATACAAAAATTGGGTTGGGTCATTAAAAAAATCTTCTTCTCAAGATCCGCAGAGCCAGAAAAGCTGAAACTTATGTGAAAGTATCCTGGGGTAGTGTAGATTCTAAATTGTTCAAATCATGACCCCCAGGGTAGGACAGAGCCACAATAGGGAATCCAAGTTTTACATTGAAATATATAGTAAAAATCTTTAAAAATCTTCTTCTCAAGAACCACTGGGCCAGAAAAGCCTGAAACTTAAGTGGAAGCATTCTGGGGTAGTATAGATTCTTAATTGTTCAAATTATGACCCCCTGGGGTAGGGCGGGGCCACAATAGGGAATACAAGTTTTACATTGAAATATATAGTAAAAATCTTTAAAAATCTTCTTCTCAAGAACCACTGGGCCAGAAAAGCTGAAACTTATGTGGAAGCATTCTGGGGTAGTGTAGATTCTAAATTGTTCAAATCATGACCCCCAGGGGTAGGGTGGGGCCACAATAGGGAATCCAAGTTTTACATTGAAATATATAATAAAAATCTTTAGAAATCTTCTTCTCAAGAACCACTGAGCCAGAAAAGCTGAAACTTATGTGGAAGCATTTTGGGATAGTGTAGATTTTTAATTGATCAAATTATGACCCCCGGAGGTAGGGCAGAGTTACAATAGGGAATCCAAGTTTTACATTGAAATATGCAGAAAAAATCTTCTTCTCAAAAACCACGGGGCCAGAAAGGCTGAAACTTATAAGAAAGCATCCTGGGGTAGTGTAGATTCTAACTGAACAAATCATGACCCCTGGGGGTAGAGCGGGGCCACAATAAGTACTACAAAGGGGGGAGGGGGGAGAGAAATCAGGTGAAAAACAGCAAAGCCAAAGTTACTCATGTGAGTGTTGTGGCCCATGGGCCTCTTGTTATTGTACTCACCTTTTGTTCTTGTATCTACTAATAGAAATTTTGTCTAAAATGAATCTAACAGTTAGTTGGTTGTATCCACGGCCATGTGTGTGACTTTAAGACAATATTCTTCAGATGTTGAGGCTCTGATATCATTTACAATCACACCATCAGGGAGATAGGAAAAATAAGGCATCTCCTTTACCCTAAGAAAAAGTAACGGGGCTAAGTATTATCACCAATACATTTTATTCTGTACTCTTTAAAAGGATTACGTGCTTGCATGCTGCCATGTTTAACACATTTCTGTTTTTGGTCACTGAAACAGGAAATGTTTCAAATGCATGTATTTGACCCAAATGTATTATTAATACTTAACCCTTATGATCAGGCATGACTTTTCTGAGAAAATAAATGACACAGGAAAAGAAATTCAGTATTTTATTTAAAAAAAAAAACGTGAAAAAAAAACTAAGTTGTTGGATCCAAACCATCAGATATAATAACTATGGCAATATCATTATAGTTCTTGATTTTGGGGAAGTTCATCTTTCAGTGTGTTTTATTTTATATGTCTGTGGATCTTTTACAGTATTGTATTATACTCAGATGACCGTTAAGGCCCTTGGGTCTCTTGTTAACTTTTTACAATTTCTTCTTCTCCTCCAGAACAACAGGGCCATTTTCAACCAAACTTAAAACAGAGTATCCTTGGCTGAAGGGGATTCAAGTTTGTTCAAATGAAGGGCCACACCGTAGATTGAACACTATTTAGATGGCACTGATTGAAATTTATTCAAACCATAGCCTTGGGGTTTGGGTGGGGCTGCTTTAGGGGGTCAAATTTTTACATTGAATAAATAGGAAACAAATATGAAAAAAATCCTTTTCAAATCAGCAGTGGAACAAATACTCAAATTGATATACAAGCATTCCAGTAAAGTACAGATTTATATTTGTCACAGTAGTCACTTGATATTCAGAACTCCCATGTAGTATATATAATTTGATTATGTCATGACACCTTGGGGCTAGGATGGTTTCAAAATTTTTTCATGGGAATGTAGAAAGAATTTTTTTTATAAACAACCTCTTGAAGAGCAGCAAAAGTGAAAGTAACTCAAGTGAGCAATGTGGTACTTAGGCTTCTTATAATTTTAAGAAGAAAAAAATAAAATATTTTTCTACCTACCTACCCATTGTTAACAATCTGAGTCAGGAAAGGGCAAACAATTATTTTAATTTTGGCTCGAAATGTTTAAATTTCTTCTCAAGAACAGTGATCAGTAATATTTATATAGATGGATCCTGGGGTTGGGGTGAGACCACAATGTGCATTTATGGTTTTAAGTTGGAAAATGTACTCAAAAAAACTGGAAAAATCTTTTTCTTTAGAACACGAAACCATGTTAATCATATTTACATGGATTTATCATTAGGTAGTGTTTATTCAGGTATGTTCAAATCATGCCCCATGGGAAAGGGTGGGATCACAATGAGGATAAAAGTTTTACATAGAAATACAAAGAAATTATAAAAATTATCTCTCCAAGAATATGAAAGCCATGATAAGGCATTTATATGAAAAAAAACAGCAGGTATTGTAGGATAAAATGGGGCTTCAATGGGTTGTCTACATTTTACTAAGGAATATATATAGGAAAAAGAATCTGCTGATAAAAAACAAGGACGACCTTAGTTACTCAGGTGATCATTATAGCCCATGGGCCTTTTGTTTTCGAATGACATGTTCATCACATATGCTTTGAAACCCTAAGGCTTGTAAAAATTTCTACTATTTATAG